GTGCCCTCGCCGGCACTGTGCACCTTGTCAGGGCTGGGGTACTATGCCCCTACTACAGTGCCCTCGTGGGCCCCAGGGTCCCCACCACTGTGGAGCTCCTCCGGGCCTCTTCCCAATTGGGGCTCAGGTGGCCCTAGCTTTACCTGGCCCCCTTGACCCCTTACTCTGGGTCCTGCCCCCCCCGGGGCTGCTACCTACACCCTTGCTGGGCTTCCTGTCACTAAATGTGCCTTCCCCGGGCTTCTCAATCTGTTCGCCCCTTCTGGTGCCAGGGTCTAGATGCCCCACAATACAGCACCCCTCTCTGGCGCTGGGAGCACCCCACCTCCCTGGGGAGCTCCTGATGAGGCCTCCTCCACCCCTACAGCCTCTCCCGGTCCTCCGGTATAACAATAACTAAACAGAACCATAAGCCAATCGGCTGTAACATAACAATAAGCCTCCTTGCTATACCATAGGATCTAGGCCCACCTGGCTCTCTTGCCAAGGCCTTCCAGTCCAGGTTCTCTCCACCCTTACCATGATGCAGTCCCTTGGGTGCTCAGGCTGCACCGCTTGTCTCTGCTCTGCTTGGTTCTCCTGCAGACCTCTTGCACCTCAGGCTGCCAGATGGGAACTGCTGCTAGGCTTTGGCCTGGGCTGTTTATAAAGGCCCGACCCTGCCCCCTTCTGGTCATGTGCCCAGCCTGGCTGCTCCAGCAGCCAACACCTGTGCTGTGTCAAGGAGCTTCAGCAGCCCTTATTCCTTGATTGGAACAAGGCACCCAGGTGCTCCTGTGACCCATAGGAACAGGGCACCCCGGTGCTCCTGTGGCATACTACATACCATTAAATCTGCTTAAGTAATCATTGGGATAATTCCTCACTTTGTTCTTATCAATTAGTACGGTCTGCAGGTGGGTGAACTAAGTTTGTACATGCCCACAGTAGTTTTCATACATGAAAATTACTATGGGTACATTTATTTCAAACCCATTTACACTATGTCAAAGTTGGTATTTTTTGGTCACCTGCATTTCGCATTAACAAGGCTTTCCTGGTCCAACAGACCAGCAGACAGCTTCACATCTTAAAGTAGCTGTATTTAGAATTATTCATATCGTAAAGCAGGCAAATATCTATCCTTTTGACTAGGGAGTGACAACAGCTTCAAAGTATCTGATACTTTGAACTACCCGATGTCTATCTAATGAAGTTTTCCTATATAACAAGTAGTGCTACTAATGAAAAATAATGATGCATAATTCTCAGGCTAGCTTTTCTTTCCTAAATGTAATTTAATTTAAATATTAAATGGTAACTTGTGGTTATTTGACAATTTGTTGCTGGTTGGACAATTTGGCTGCCAACTGTTATAGGTCTTTATTTGTGATTTTGGTTTAGAATATGTCAGTTATAAGGCACAAGTCAAAAGAAATCATTTTCTATGTTAGCTGGTCCATTGTTCTAAAGTTAAATTGTTTCCACTCTAGAGAACTTTTTTTGTTGTTGTTGCTACACCTCCCATGTTAAATTTTCTTTCTTTTGTTGTTTACTAAATGATGCCAGCGCACACGATCTCCCTGATGAACAGTATTGAGACATCTTAATGGTTTCCCCACTTTCCCAAACTGAAGGAATTTCACAGAAAAATCTCTTTGCTTTAAGATTTTGCAAATGTCCTCCATTATGCCACTTGCAGAATACCTTTCCTTTACTGTTTAATTACTGAACTTTCTAAGTTGTTTTCAAATGTATTAGACTACGATTACTCTCAGAGATTTCAGAAGCATGATACATATGAAAAGAGCAATAAGGAGGTCATCATTATTAGGAGTTCCTTGTCTCCAAGACTAATAGTGCCTTAGTGCAGGTGGTGAAATTAGGTGCAGTGAGCACATGAATGACTGCAGGCCTCTTGACTCTGCACCCTGAGTACTCTGTGTTGCATAATTCTCGGTATCATTCAGCATCTGAACAGGTCTGTTGCTTTTGTACATTAGAGCTCAGATTATATGGATCCAGGGTGCTTCATGGCCCACTTAACTTACATCAGGTTGCTAGAGTAAGCATGAGCTACTCAGCTGTTTGGTACAGTTTTTTTTGTTTTACTCCACTGTGCTGTAACTTGAGAGTGATCTCATGCAGCTCACTGGAGAAGTGGTACCCTTTGGAATAAAAGCTGCAGCAAATGATTGGAGCACCCTTCTGGCCCTACAAAGCTATTGGTTGTGGCTGTCTAGCCCCACTTACTTCACAGATCTTCATCTGGTGAGGAACCTAACCCTGAGTAAAATCCAGTTTCTGCTGTACATTTCCTCACTTTGATGCTTTATTGCTACTTCTTTGCAGCTAAGAAGCGAAAAGGGTTACCCAGTGGGTTGCGCTTGATCAAGTATACCTTTAGGAGATCCTTGCTCAATTGCACTTCCTTCTTCTTTGCTTCAGTTCACAACAGGATGGCTCCTTGGGTCTCTTTCATCTAGCCAAGCAATGTGTCTGGCCAATTAGAACTGGGCTTTCATGACACAGGACCTCAAACATTGGTCATCATCTTGTATCACCTCATTTGGAATAGGCTATGAAGGTGCCCCTGGTGGAGCATCTCCAGGTGACAGGTATACTATAAGAACATAGAAGACTTGAATTCAAGGCTATAGTTGGGAAAATAAACAGGGATGAAACAATAGGTTTGAAATCCAGAGTATCCCAACATGTGCTAATCTAGGTTCCTGAATTTTTCTCCTTAAGAAACATAGGAGACCCACATGTCCAAGTGGGATAGTATTGTATTTACCATATCGAAGCAGCCAAGTAGTAGGTCCCTGATAAATTCTTAAAAAATAAATACATTAGAAATAAAGCCAAAACAACTGTGAGAAGGATACATTTGAAATACCACACATAATATTGATAATGCACTTGAAATAATTTTGATAATAGATGAATGAATACATTTCATGAAAGAAAGTTTTTCTTTCCCCTTGGTGCGACACAGGTTGTGTTATTCTGGAATATAATGTTGATGTCAGCAGCAAAGCTTACAGGCTATCCATTTTTTATTTGTTCATATCATTATAATACAAGCTTACTTCTTGTTTTGGAAGAGAGAGTTGGTTAATTATGAAAAACATAGACATTCCAAATTAATTCCTTTGTTTCTGGTACTGTTGTATTTAAAATTAGAGGTCAAAAGATTAATTTTTCCTAAAGGTAACATTATAAATTTTACCTAATGAGATGCTTCTACTTCCAACTGTCAAGTCTAGGGAATGCATAAGTTTGCGTCTTCCCAGAAATGATCCTTAAGGCATTTATACTTTTAGATAGAGCTTATGCCAAAATAGCAGAGGATTAAAGGGCTTCCTAATAGTAAGCTCTCTTTAGATGCTTTGTTTATGAATTCAAAGGGTTTTTTAAAGTTGATTTGTCTACATTATAAACTGTAAGCTAGAAGTGTTGGCAACTTCTTGGTCCAGTCCTGCTGTTAAGAACACGTGCACTGGTTCTGGCAGGTTAAGGGGAAGGTCTGTCCCATGGGGCCAGATGCGTTTGACACCAAGAGCAAGTACCACTGTGTTGGGTGTTGTTTTTTCAGGCAGTTGACATTTACCAAACTGTTGATGCTTTGCAGTACACAGGCTGGTGTCGTGAAAACCCTTAAATCTAATTGTTGGTCCTGGTGCTACTATGGCGCTGTGGAGGTTTAAGTTGAAAGGACCACAGCAGAATACTAAAATACAAACTTTTTGATACTGTAAAAACTGTTTTAATTTATTTGATTGGGATTGTGTAAAGCTTTAAACTAAACCTAAAATTTGAGGTCCAAGTTACTTGGCACTGTCTCTTGTCAAGTCTGTTATAGATTTATGGGAGAAGCAAAAGGTTTTCTTTTGGTGCCATCTGTTGGACCAACTTGGCCTTTCCTGCCCAAGTGGCTGGACCCGATATTCTGTAAGGTCCCTTCCAGCTGCTAATAACTATGAAATTATGAAGCAACTTTGAATGTCATAATCTCTTGTAATTCCACTGTTTTCTATATCTCTGATATGTTTAGCTGCCCTGTAACCTTAACAGTGGGAACCCTGTGCTGGTTATTTTATGGAGTAGATTCAGTATGCAGAAGCTAGCCTGTAAAAACAGTAAAATGGTGAAAAGAGTTATTCAGAATAAATTTTACCTTTCATAACCCTATCTCAAACAGGGTCAGCTTATTCGTTTGGTGAATTGGGCCAGGGCTGCCAGCTATGAATTGTATCACATACCTAAGTGTGTGACGGTAACATCACATACAAACTGCAAAATGTCAAGAGAACTCTGCCTGCCATCTGAAAAAATATATCAGGATTTGAACACAGCAGAATGTGTTGCATGTTAGCAGATCAACAGTTAAATCAGGAGGCTGTCAGACAACCACTGTTCAGAGCAGTGGGAGTAGAAGTATTCTGAGTCTATCAGCTCCCATTTTAATGGGAGTTACACTTGCAAATCAAAGGGAAAATGGATCGTTTCTGTTGTGTAGCTCACAGAATGGTGCACTTTTACTATTGTGGCTCTAACTGTACGTTATTAGCAGACAGCATGATTTAGTGCACAGCACGCATTACTGAAATTTATGACGTCTGCAATTTAAGATACTAGTCTGCTGGGTACCCATGACAGGTCACTTTGCCCTATGCTTCAGCATTTCTGTAAGTGAAGTAATGATAATGGGTCTGTCCTTTTTGAAAACAGTTTGAGCACTGCAGACCTAAAACTAGTATAATTTGCATAGAGATTTTTGGCTTCTGCCTGAGAGAGAATGGTTGGTGTTAGATTCTATTTTTTATGTATGCTGGGCTTGTTTTATGATTGTATTGGTTTGGGTTCTTTTACTTTGGTGCCTCCTACATGCGTTCTACATATTGGCGAAATGAGAATGTTCAGTAGATATTTTATGTATGTAACGAGACTGAAATATTTCGTATTTTAGTGCACTGCAGTCCAGCCTAATTTTTCTTTTTGTTTTTTTTTTATTGTAGATTAGGGAATACAATGGACAGATTCAGGGGGTTACCAGCATTGGATTTGCATCCTTGACGTTTGATGGAACCCCAGGAGCAGCAATCATTCCTCGAGCCTCTAGTAAATTGTACACTTTCACAGATGAAGAACAAAAAACAATAGAAGAACTACGTGTTTGGGGATCCAGTAATCTTTCCATCTCTGGGCCAGCAGTGAAATTGTCTGGTGTTCAGCCAAAGCTGTTTTTTGACCTCACTTGCCAACTTATAGGGAAAGCAAAAATGGATGGATCTTCCTTTCTTCTCAAGGTGGATTTTTAAATATTTAAGTATTTGTTAAGTTATTTATTTATTTTATTCTCTATCAAGGCATTCCATTGGAATGTCTGCAGGATTTAACTGAATACAGTGTGTAGCACACTTTGTAGAATAAGAATGGATGGATTCATTACGCTGTATTTTTGATGGATTTCAGGTGCCCTTTAGTTGTGCATAAGTATAAAGCACCCTTTGGTGCTTGTATAAAGAAGCAAAATGCAAAGTGTCACACTGCAGGAAAGCAGTTTCTGGGGACTAATCCTTAATATCAGCTAAGTAAAAGAGGATTTGTGTAATTTTCCCAGATTAGCAAACTGTTACAGTGGACAGATTTTATCCTGAAATTCCTCTGTCTCTTCATTGGCAATCATGACTTGATACTTAGAATATTAAGTGATGGGCAGAATATTAAAAGTCTGATGCTTTTTATCTCAGTATTTCTGTTTCTATATAGTAGCACCAGGAAACAATTGTCTTTAACCAACTTTAATGTTTTTAGACAAGTAGCAAATTTGTGCATTATTGCTTTTGTTAAAGTAGCAAAGATGTTCTCATGCAGAACATTATTTACACTATATAGAAAAGAATGTTATTTAAACTGCATCCTATAATATGCCCTACAGCTCTTACAAACATTTTAATTCAAATAAATGTATGTAATGGATGTCAAACAAAGCCGATAAAAATGTATTCCAGCACTTCATGAACTGTAGGTAAAATGTTCATTGCTCATTACCCCAATAGGTGCAAATTCATGCTGAGAAATCTTTTATAAGGGCATACACAAGTGATTCTTGAAGTATCATCTTTACTTCACTTTCTATTGTTTGTTGCAAGTTTGTGTCTTGCTTTTTGTCAGTTTTATGTAATTCAGTGAACAGCTTTGAGGGGGAAAATAACTGATGGACTTGTAAAGATAAAAAAAACTGAAGAAGCCAGAGCATCGTAGACCAGTTTATTACACTAATAACCGTAACCTTGACAATGTCATTTTTGCTAGGAATACCATAAAAATATTAACTACGTAAAAAATATTGAAATTTAGAGGTCAGACAAACTTAGAAAATCAAGGACATATTGAATGTTGTTATGGCATCATTTATCCATTCCTTTTTGCCCAGGTGACAGTGTTTCTGATTTTATATCAAATACTACAATAATTATAATAGATTTTGCTGTTCTTTAAGTGTCTGTAAAACTACTCATCTCTTGATTAAGTTTTTGCTCTTGGTAAAGGACAGCAATTCATTTTGCTATTTGGTGATCTGAAACAGACCAGCTTCTCAGTGATTGCATATGTATATCTAAGTATATATGTTTAAATATATGTTAACCATGGACAGGCATTTCACTAATAGCGCTAAATATTTCCTTTCAGCTCTACAAAAATCAAGAAGAAAGCATCTCACGGGACTAGGGGGAAGCATAGCAAAGCTATCAGGAAATGCTACAGGCATTGGAAATTTATGGTTTTTGAAAAGGGGGGTTATTTGGTATGCATTGTCCCATTTAACTTAGCACCTATTTTTCTCCAGGGAAAAAGAGAATAGAAGCTTCACTAATATGCTGGGGGCTAGGGCTATATTATTCAGTTTAACATCAAAGTAAAAACAAATGTAACTTCATTGGAAGTTTGAATGAGTTAAAAATTGGAATGAGTTAAAAACAATTTGCAGGGCTGTGAAATACAAGCTATATTACCAGGAGCAGCTAACAGGCAGTAGGATTGCAGAAGACTAACTTGATTACTGGAATATCAAGACTGTTAAACAGAGAGGGTTATTAACACCTGTAGAATAAAGAGTTTAGAAGGAACCAGGTAGATCAGGAGTAGGGAACGTTTTTTGGCTGGAGTGCCTGTCCCCGACGGGCCTTCATGAGACGCTTCTGGGACCCCTGCTCTGCTGGTCGTTGACTCCTCCCCTTCCGGACTTGCGTATTACCGTGGTTGTTCGTCCTCCCACGTCGCCCACCCTGCTCTCTCCTGCCACTACTTGCTGTTACACCAGTGGGGCGGGGCTAGTTCACAGGTCCCACGGTGGCCCGGGTCTGGCCCGCCGGTTGCACACAGGGCTCTCTCCTGCCCTGATGTCGACCCCTTCACACCGGCCTGAGCCGGTGCCTTAATCCTCACTACAATAGATCCCACACCACAAACCTGTCACCCTGTGCTACGTGCCTCCTCTAACAGGTTCTACCGTACCAGCTACCTCGCCGACCCTCCACCACCTCCCTATTATAATGAACAGGGTGGCACCTCCCGGCTGCTTTCTAGTTGCACACTTGTTCCCTTAATCAGCGTCTTCTATTCTCGGCGGCGATCCCGCCCCGATCTCTCGCCAGCCAGGTGGTCCTTCGGCCTCTCACCCCTCTTCAGCGATGCCCGCGCCCACTGCCTCAGCATTTACTTCGGAGTCCTCTGAATCCCCTCCTGGGTTGTCTCAGTCTTCATTCGCTCACCCGGTCCGTCGCTTTGGGGTCAATCCACTGGTGTCCCAGTCATCAATCTTCCTCTCTGAGCCACTGTTCCCTCCAGCACGCTGGCTCTTCTCCATTTGTCCAGCGGGGCTAGTGCCAGGGATGGCCCTGCCAGCCGTCTGCTCCCCGTGCTATCCGCCGCCTCCGGAGCGGCGGCTGCCATTTTTAAATCCGCCGGCCGGCATCTGACGTCACCGTCAGCTGCTGGCCGCAGCTGTACATAGAGGCGGCTAACGAGCCGCGCGGGTTCTCCCTCCGTTGCGGCGTCTCTCCTGTCTTGGGCTCCAGGTAAGTGTCCCTTGCTACCTCGGCCCCCGGGACAGTGCCGAAAAACCCACAGTGCCTACCTTGAAAGGTGCCAGAGTGCCAGCATTTCAGAAAAACAGGTTCTAGATAGCTGCTGATAGCTATAGAGCCTGGGCTGCTTGCAGGAGGGCTTCAATCCTCCCAGCTGGCTGCTGGGAGCAGCCCAGCCTCCATGGCTATCAGCAGCTACCACAAACCTGGGCCAGCTGCAGCTGGGAGGCTGCAAAGAACTGCTGCCTCCCTGCCCTAGCCCTGGCTGTCTCCCAGCCCTGGGCTCTGGGAAAACAGCAGGTGCCAACACTGCGCTTGTTGGGGCCAGGGCTGTGGGCAGTGAGGGACTGGGGCTGTGGGGCCAGGGCCACCCAGCAGCATGGGGCTGGGGCCAGGGCCCATAGGCAACATAGGGCTGGAGCCTGGCCACGGACTGGGGCCCATGGCGGTGGTGGTGCTGGCTGGTGCTGGGCCCGTGCAGGGCCAGGGCCCACCAACAGCACATGGCTGGGGCCTTCGGCAGCGCTGAAATGGGGCTGGGTCCCGCACAGGTTCACGGGCCCTGGTCCCATCCAGACGCTGCCGATGGCCCCGACCTGGCAGTGCTCGGGCCCGTGGTGGTGGTGAGGGCTGGGGCCAGGCCCGCTGGCAGCTGGCACCACTGCTGCGGCTGGGGCCTGGGCCCAGCTCAGATTTTAGCTGGTTGCCAGGGCCTGCGCAGGCTCCAGCCCCATCCTGACACTGCCGATGGCCTGGGCCCGGCAGCAGTACTGGGCTGAGGCTGGCGGCAGCAGCACGTGGCCGGGGCCGGGCCGGTCGTCAGTGCTGGGATGGGGCCAGGGCCTGCACAAGTCCACGGCTCCAGCTCGGCAGTGGCTGGGACCGGCAGTGGCGGTGGTGCTGGCTGGGGCCAGGCCTGCCGGTGGCATGTGGCTGGGGCCAGGCCCACGTTCAGCACCGGGATGGGGCCAGGGCCAGGACCAGGGCCCAGCCCACCAGCAGCACCAAGATGGGGCCGGGGCCTGCGCAGGTGCATGGGCTTGGGCCCCGGCCTCATCCCACCGCTGCCAACAGCCCTGGCCCAGTGGCTGTGGTGATGCCGGCCAGGCCCGCTGGCAGCACATGGCCGAGGCCGTCTGTAGCGCCAGGATGGGGCCAGGGCGTGTGCAGGTCCATGGCCCCGGCCCCATCCCAACACTGCTGATGGCACTGGGTTGGGACCCGCAGCGGCAATGGGGCCGGTCCGCCAGCAGCACGTGGCTGGGCCCAGGGATAGGGCCTGCGGCGGTGGTGGTGCTGGCTGGGGCCTGCCGGCCAGCAGCACAAGGTTGGGGCCGGGGCCATTGGGGCTGGCTGAATACTAGGAACCAAGGAGTTCACACTGATATTGGTTGTATGGCACATTAAAACCTACCCAATTCTTGAATTCTTCCCACACCTGAAAGGTGATAATGATCCTCATCCCTTTTGATGCCCTAGTAGTCAGCTTCTTTTGTTCTGTTAATTCTTTGTCTGCTACCCCTGGGGATCTCTCTCCACCCTCACATTTCACAGCTCTACCAACTGTATTTTACTATAGCCAGGCTTGCTTTTCTCTTCAGACCTAAGACTGTCTTGAGTTTGAAAACTTGTCTAACTCTATTCCAACTATGCAGTTGGTCCAATAAAACATACTGCCCAAAGAAATCCTGGTCTGTAGCTAGGGTCAGATCCAGAGGGGTACACTTGCATCCCCTTTGATTCCTAACTCACCCAAAGTTTAAAACCAACTGCCTGCCAATGGCAGCACAGTATGTCAACTGAATCCTCCCCACCCCCAGGGCAGGGGGAGGCTCTGTTCCATGCTGGGGGGGAACTTTTCTCCCTCCTCTTTCTCTCCCCATAGAGGCAGCAGAAGCACAGAGCTCAGCTGGACAGGGTGTGGCATGTAGGGACCCCACACCATCTCCCCATGGTGTGCAGCCCCCACTGCCTGGCAGCAGCAGCAGGCGGGGAGGTCAGGATGCTCATGGCCGGCGCACAGCTCCGGCCAGCGCTGCAAGTGGGGAGGGAGTGGAGCCTACTTTATCCCCACAGCTTTGCTCCCTGAGCCTGAGGCTGCAGTGGGGGAAGCCCCGCACTAGAGCCAGCTGCTTCCTCTGCTCCCTGCTTTGCAGGTCCTGCACTCTGCTGTGAGTGGAGAGAGCCCTGCCCCCTGCTTCCCCACAGAATCCAGT